GGGGGGGGGTGAGGGAAGAACTGTGACTACATTAACACTGGACTCCAGAAAGGGTAAGGTTCATTATGGATGAGCTACGAAGCCAGGGGTTAAGTTTGCACATGATGCTGTATATAACACAGTACCACTGTGGGTTCTTACAAGGGTGAAATGTTGACAGGATTTAATAAATATCACTCTAACAATGGAGTAGATTGGCACCACTACATTAGCTGCCTTTCAGAACATATGCACAGCCATCACAGCCTTAGAAAGACTATGACAACTGGAAATAACAACCAGATAATGTCATGGAGCCCTAATTTTGCAAACTTCAAATAAAGAAAGAGTGACTAAAAAAGAGGAGAGTCTTGCTGTGTTTACAAAGGATTGTGAAGGACTGGGAAGAACTCAGTGTGCAGGAGAGAGGGAATGAATGTAACAAGACCTCTCAGATGCTGAAAGGGAATAGGACCTAGGTGAGTGATGTTGTTGCATTTTTACCTTTTCATAATAAAAATTTTCAAACTACCAGAAAGTACAGAGAACAGTATAATGATCTCCCAAGTGTCCATCGCCCAGCCTCAATAATTGTCAATATTTTGCTAGTTTTTCAAAGAAATCTTTGTTTTAGCCTACTGACTTTTCCAGCAGAGGGTAGAAAATATGAATATGCACCATCACACATAGCACTGTTTTGTTTCATTTTATTTCATTTATATATAGATATGTATGTGTGTACTGGAGATATAACATAAAATGTATTTTTTACTAAGGGTGGCATCAAAAAGTTTGAACGCCAGTCACCTGGAGCAGTTCTTCTCAGATGTCGTTGGGCACACAAACTGTCTAGGGCTTGAGGTTTAGCATTCAATCAGCCTCCGAGTTGCTGCTGATCCGTGAACCTTTAAGTGGCATGGATCAGGAGAGGACTGGTTACAGCACTAGCTTTAGTATTTCTCTGGGATCCTGGGTGCAGGGATAAGAGGAGAGCTGTAAACTCTGCAGCAGTAGAGAATTAGATGAAAGGTGCATGTAAGGGTAGACTAGGAAACTAAGAATAAATCATCTCAATTTTTCTGAGACATTGAAGGAGAGACTGAATACGGGTAGAGACAGAGAAAACTTGAAGGACAGAACAATGAAAGAATTAACAAAACAGATTCAATTACCTTTGGTACCAGGAAGACTGTGTGCAATAACCACCTTCTTTTGCTGAAATTCTTTTAATTTCACAATATTATCTGTAAGTAGGTATCTTTTAGCTAAAAATTAGAGAAAGAAAAAGTAGTATCATTTTGACTGTTTTATACTTAGTAACATGACTGCCTCTACTAACCAATCTTATCTTCACTTAGTATAAATAATCTATCTAGGCAGATACAAATATAACAGTCACCCTGGTGGGAAAAAACATTTCCAAAATACCAGAGAATGCAGATCCTCAGCAAGACAAGTTATGTTTATGTGTGTAAATGGAGCTAGTGATTGTGTATGGGGATGGGATGAAAGGAATCTGGGATCTGAAAGACAAATAGACACTCACCATCTGGTTAAAGGACAAGGAAATTTTAAAACAAACTAAAGGCTATTGTTTAAATGCAAAAGGGGAATATCTTGTTTTGGTATACCTAGGTAGCAGCATATAGTGTAATGGAAAAAGCTATAGGGTGATCACTGGAATTCCCAGTTCTGTCGTTTGTGAAATGAGGAGTATGGCCTCTCAGATTTGGACTCTCAGTATCCTCAAGATATATATCAGAAATTATTGGCCACAACTTAGCAGAAAAAGTGAGTTTGGGAAACACTATCATTTCTTTAGGATGCTGGGCTGTGCATGGAGCAGAGCTTGGCCAAAGCATCACCCACTAAAAGAGCTCTGGGTACTGCAATAAAAAGGTAACAATAAATATTGCTGTATGCAGAGCCAGTCCATAGAAGTGGTTACAGCGGAACTCTACGGTCCCGCTGCCGGTGTTCAAATCCCTCCCCTACAAGTTCCCTCTAACCCTGGGCAAATCAGATATACCTGCTGTTTCCGCCACTGTAAATGGAGAAAAGAATGGTACTCTGTCACCGGTGTTGTAGGAGAAAAGGAATGTTCTGTAAAATGCATTAGAATAATGCCTGATACAAAGTGTTATATATTTTATCACTCCTCGGACTTCTCCAATTCATTTTCCGAAAGATATTAAGGGATCTTTTACGAATGAAGGAACCTGTTCAAGGTCTTTCAGACTGTCAGCTGCAGAGCTGGGACTCTGCTCCCAAACTCTGCAGGACGCTGCACCCAAGGGGGGGGGGGTTCCACAGAGCAACGTCCCCCACCCGCGGGAGGCCACAGCCCCAAGGTCAAGCCCCCGGCCCGCTGGCCTTTGGATCCCAGGTACAGGGATGTCCACGACACCCAGGGGCCATCGCTGCACCCACACGCGAAGCCGCGCTCGGCTGCTCCGGGCCAGTAGGCAGGTGACAGTGGGGCTGTTATTTCTCCAAAGCGGTGCCCGCTGAGGGGTAAAGGTCCCTTGTGTCCCCCCCTCCCCCCTCCCGGCGCGAGGCCGCGGATACCTCCGAGCGCGCAGCGGCAGCAGGTGGAGCCCGAGCCGCCCACCCCGGGATACACCAAGGACCGCAGGACCCGCGGGACCGCCCGCTCCCCGGGCCGGAGCGCCGCAGCCATGCCGTCTCGGGCCGCGCCAACTGCGGAGC